AGTATAATACTCTCTCTCTTTCTTCTCTCTCTCTCTCTCTCTCTCTCTCTCTCTCTCCTCCCCACAAAGAAACAAATAAAAATAAAAAGTTTAACTTTGCTGGTGTCACACTTCAAGGTCTAAATCGCATGAAACTGATCGATGGAGCGATCAATGGAGCAATGAGTCAGATGGAGATTATGAAGAAAAAATGGGGCCAACACCAAGCCGAGATGTAGCAGGATATGATAAAAGAAGAGAGGGACAAAAACACTCCAGTAGTAAGAGAATATCTTGGGCCAAAGGGTATTTATTCATCTCTCTCTCTCTCTAAATACTTCGGCAGTAGAAGTCTAGTAACATTAGGTATTGATTCATCTCTCTCAATGTCTAATACCAATAGGAATTAATTCATCTCTCTCTCTTGAGAGTGACGAAACAGCAGTAGGAGAGTGTCCAGTGCCATGGGGTATTAATTCATCTCTACTACAGATACGTGCTTTTATCCACACACACACACAAAAAAAAGATAAAAATAAATAAATAAATAAATTTTGAATTCTAATCAGCTGACAGCCTACTCTCTCTCTCTCTCTCTCACACACACACACACACACACATGCCTATTCATGCTAACAAACATTCACCTACACATGAGTCATATGGACCAGGTACGTAAAGGGAAGCCCCACTAATACTAATCGACTTTGCACTATTTATAAGAGAAAAAAGTTTATATAAGGTTGCAACCTTAAAATGTAGAATGAAAGATCCACCTCAAAAATCCATCGAAAAAGGTTGTTTTAATGTTGAAAAACCCTCTACTTGATCATCTCGACATCGAGATGTATAAATATGAAAAAAAAAAAAAGATTTTGAGTCCCAGAAATAGTGCATCTCACAACATATTATCTAAACTGTCCATTTTCAAGATTTTCATATGTTTATAGATCTACTTGATTTTAACCATTTTTGGAGTTTAAAATGTTGTAATTAGATATAAAAATAGATTTTTAGATAATCGTAAGTATTTTTTACACCAAAATTACACATTATGATGAAATTTGGAGGTGTGCCTTAATTGGATCGTTTAAGGTTGCAACCTTATAAAAACCACACCCTTTATAAAATGACCAAGATATCCTCTTCCTTCTCATAATTTTCTTTCTGTCGATCATGAGAAGTAACCTTATATGATTAATTTCCTCCTTTTCCTTATATTTTTTATGCCTTTTATTTTTCCATGTACCAAATTGCCGTTCAAGATCTCATTATCTTTAATTTTTACCCATATTTTTCTCTTTCTATGGGCATCGGTTATAGGAAGTAATGAAAAGGAGTACAATATGGATTGCAGGCACCATTCTTGCAGGTCTGAGTCACATGAGAGTGATCAATGCAGTGATGGTTCTGGTGAACACTCTGATAAGAGTGCGGTGAACCAAGAAGAGGAGAGGCACCGTAAACATAGAGAGTTGCAAAAGCACTCTCGGAGGAAAACCTCCCGCAGCACTAGGTATCTCTCTCTCTCTCCCCCTCTCTCCCTAGAAATTATTTAAATTGCATGTTTCCTTTCCTTTGTAAGTATACAAACAAGGATCTCTCTTTCTCCGCTCCCACCCTAGCAGGGGGTAATATGTATTCCATTTTTTCATTTTCTCAAAAGCTTTGGGGCATGGATTGGGGTTTGCATTCAATATCTAGATTCTACAAACGGCAGTATGTGCAACAAACAAAGAGCTCTCTCTCTCTCTCTCTCTCTCCCCCAAGTCATCATCATCAACCAAGCCTTATCCCAATTATTTGGGGTCGGCTCTCTCAATCTCTCCAAGTGATTTGTATATTCCATATTTTCATTCCATCTTAAGAAAATATACACCAAAACTGCACCGGACTGCAGCAAAGATCTCTCTCTTGATAATGTGACAATGACTTTAAAGAGAAGTTGTTGTTGCAGCCACCACTCTAGAAGGTCTTTATCTAGTGAAGCTAAAGCAAGGGAAGGTGATTCGAGTGAAGACAATGAGAGGAGTCCATCGTCATTGAGCGAAGAAGTGGGGTATCAGAAGAACAGAGAGCTGCGAAAATACTCTAGCAAGAGAAAGTCATCTAGACATGGCAGGTATGATGCATCTCTCTCTCTCTC